ATAAACACTACAGAATTATCATCCGCCTCGTTATCCGAAGAACGATATGTTTGTGTTTTTGGGGAGAAAGTATGCTAAATGTTTGAATGGCAATCTTGTTTCCGGTTGAGTTGAACGTGACTTGGTGCATGATGAAGCACTCGACATACATGATCGCCAAAAAATTGAAAAGATTGACAGCAGAATCAGCTACACTTCTTGAAGCGTATCATAATGTCATATATATAATATCCGAAAGATTGTGTATGGTATCAGTTCCCTTCGGGATCCGAGATCTATCCTTGTGTCTGAGAAAATTCTAATCAAACACAGTGAATCCTCGTCTATAGTCCAAAATAATTCGGTCAAATGTACGTACTTGTGGCAATATACCATTATTATATACAAAATCGTTAATTGTTCACTAGACTGCAATACATACCTACTGTTCAGCAAATATCTATATTGTCCAATCAGCTACAAGTACGCACTTCGCCCTACTGACGCAGTAACAATATCAACCATCTTCTTGTACACATAGATAAGGCGCATTTAGGTCAACCAATGCATTCGACAACAAATATACTAAACAGCCACAAGTGTAAACTTGGTACCCGTGCACTTAGCCCTGCCAATGCATACACACATACGTATATCATTCACGCCAGCATTCTCACACACCTGATATAGATACACTTGACCCTGCCTGCCGCCGCAAGCAACAAGGCTGTCGTCACAGTTGATATTGGCTTTCGAGTAGAAAGAGGAGAAACCATGACCAGCTAAGATATTGATAGGCCCATCCTCCCGTTGCGCGGTATGTCTGCGCTCCGTATCCGGGCTGCTGTGTGTGTATCTCACCGATCTCGAGAGCTCGAAAACATACAACCTGTTCGTTCAATGGTATGGTAAGTATGGATCAGACGTGATCGAAGATTAGGGATGTCTTCCGGCTGTAGTATGGGTGCCATGCATCTGCATATATTGCAGGCTCTTGTACTAATCGTACTAAACAAGCAACTGGTCTGCCACTCGCAGAAACATTCGATGGGCTGAATTAAGTATGTGAACATGTATAGTCTGACTATGCGTCTAGGCAGCACTGCTAATACTACTACCTGGCTAGCATGAGTGTACAATAAGGCGACCGACTAGAGATAGGGAGGCTGTGGTTGAGTGGACAACTTTAACTGAGAAGAAATAGCAAAGGGACATGCATGAACAATGAACACGTGTACATGGAAAGAGATTAAGCCGGAAGGCTGAACTGATCAGTCTCAGTTCTAAATACTAGGGACATAGACACATTTCGATTCAAAACTGTGTTCGTCAACTAAATATGTATCATGATCACTGGACATGTAGACACAGCTCGATTCGCAACTTATATTTTCCACTGGGCAATCGTGGATTGTCATTGTGAAGCACACCAATGAAATCACAGAAATTATAGCTGTACCGCATAGAAGCACACCAATGAAATCACAGAAATTATAGCTGTACCGCATAGAAACACACCAATGAAAATACAGAAATTTTAGGTGTACCGCATAGAAGCACACCAATGAAATTACAGAAAAAAAGCTGTACCGCATACCTACCTTTGATCCAAGCAATTGGCCACAACAGTGTCCCCATCTCGCTGGCTTATAGCCAGACTGGTATACGCACGTGGTCTGACGCCTTCGCCGTAGTGAGGTATGTAGCCCATGCATGTTTCGTAGCCACTTGTCCTTGCCTTGTGGCTGGTTCGTGCATCCCAAAGCTTGATTAGACTGTTCCAATCAAAGGAATTGGTAAAGTGTGGAGGTATTTAAGTATTTGCTTTTCGCGGGCGTATATATGTACATCCAAATGTGTGCGACAACGATGATGGTTTTAATTATGTACAAATTTATTTTGCACTCAGAACAGATAATAATTGGGTTCATATATGTATTGTCTCGAATGTTGTGCATACTGGTACTAAGCGTGCGTATGCACGTGTGCGTGAGTAAATTTGAAAACAGGCGAACATCCCACGCACAGTAGACATATCTATAAAAGTGTCACAAATTATTCTTCCCGGTCCGTGCTTGCAGTCGCCACTATTTACAATTGCGTATGTGCGATAGTAGGGATCAGAACTTCTCGTTACAAACTTCGATACGGAATCTAGAAACGTCTGCATCGAAACGACACATTCACCAGTAAATTACGTTACAAAGTAAAAAGAGAGCCATGCATATCCATCCACAGCTGACCCGATGAAACGACCCTTTCAGACAGACGCATTTCCGAAAAGGCCGATACTGTATCATAATCAACAACGCAGTCACTCCCTCACGCATTTTACTTAGAAAGAATGAACCGAACAAAACAAACTCACGTCATTTTTTTTTATTGAAATATATCCAGATAAACATACAGAACGAAACATAGGCGAATATATGAATATCCTACAATGTAGTTAGTTGCTCCGTCATGTATGATTTTTAAAAAGAGCGAACTGAACATAATATGGTCACTTCTTTTTTGATATAAGACTAAACGCAGGAAAACGCA